CACTGGTCGGTCAGCTCATGGATCGCCATCTCATTGATCTGAACGCAGAGATCCATAAATATCTGTCAAAAGATTTCTATCCGTTTAAGACATTCAACGGATCGGCAGTTAATATAACAGTCCGTCAAATGATGTCACATACGGCGGGACTTTATAGGGGAGTAACTGTTGAGGATTTCGACAAATTATTACTAAGACGTGCGGACAATGTGAGCCATACTATCCCTCCATTTAATGACGAGCCCTTAATATTTAAACCTGGTACTAATTGGAGTTACTCTAACTATGGCTACCAAATGGTCGGCGCTTTAATTGAGTCCATACTTCACAACACATATGAGAATGAAATACAGAAAATGTTTACCCAATTAAACATGAAATCGACATTTTCTGAGAGACGGGAAGCCATTTACAAACACAGACCACAATACTATCATTTATCCGACGGGACATCCGGCACATTAGTAAAGTGTGATATGATTGACGATCTCATATCATACTCGGGCTATTGGCCGGCCGGTGGTCTCATCTCATCGGCTGAAGATATCTTGAAATTTGGAAACGCAATGATCTCTTCATATAAGGGAACTAATGGTAAATGAATTCATACGAAATAACGTGACTTTTATTTATTATAGATTTTCTACGCAAAGGTTTCTTAAGTGAACGGACTGTACAGGAGTTGTGGTCACCAGAGACTCGGGGCATGTCTATACCATACCCTTTGAATACTAGTGAATATGGTATGAGATTTCTATTGTTAGCATTAGTTTTGCAAATCTAATATAACGATAATACTAATTATGATGGTTTAGCCAAAGGGTGGATGATAGTGAAGGATCCCAGTCCATTCAAGCAAGTCATATGGCACGCGGGGGATATAACAGGTGTATCGACCACGTTCAAACTGTACCCTGCTGAAAATATGGTTGCCGTGGCCTATGTTAATATGGGGGGACTTTTTGACGAGTTGGAAGAGTTCACCATTAAGGTGGCCAATATGTTCAAGGATATTCTGTAAATTCTATTAAATTAATAAATTTTGAATTCAAAATTAAGTTTCTTGTTTATGAAATATTAATTTATGCATTATTTTAATTTAAGATTACAAATATTTTTTAAAAAAATTATTCGTAATTAGTTTGCTTATTGTTTTATAAGAATAAATTATACAATGTTTGAAACCACTTTTAGTATACTATAAGGCTTGAGATTATCATAAATTGAAATACAATTTTTAATTAAACATAACACGTGTTAATTTACAATGTATTTAATTAATATCCATTAAAATACTAATTAGGATCTTACAATGCATTTATTATCAATTTATACTAATTGAAATAATTTTTTACCAATCTTTGAAAAGTTTATGTTATAATATTTATACTAAATATATTCTATTCATAAAAAATTAATAGCAAGTTTAATTTTATACAAAACATTGCTTCATGTTTATACAAATTTTATAAGATATTGAAATGTTTGTGATATATTTAGAAATTTCCGGCGAAAATTATTTCAATGTATTAGATCTTATAGTGGAGTTTATATTAATCTTTTTATCGTAGACTTATCAAATAAATCTTTTGTTTTAATTTGTTATAAAAAAATTATGTTTATTGCAGAGTGTTTATGCAATACTAAATTCAATGTCATTTTAGTGAATTGATAGTTTGGAGTTGTTTATTTAACAGTTGTTAGTATTTAAATCTCTTTGTTATATTAATATTTGAGTAGAAAATTTCTACTATCCAATAGAAATAGATAATAAAAATATACAGTACTATAAATGTGACTTGTTGAATTTATTAATTTGTAAATTGAGAATATCTGAATATTTCATTTATAGCATAACCGGTAACTAACACATGGATCATACAATTGGTCACCACAGCCAACATAAACGGGTTATTAATATATTAATTAATACTAAATTATTTCATATAAATTATTTTTATATTATTATCTCTTTTAGGCAAAGATGTCATCCAATGGCAAGAATGGCACTCAAGAGGAATACTCTAAGGACTCATTCGACAGATTCGGTGATGACTTATGCGAAGAGATATTGTCTTATCTGTCACTGAAAGACGGCTTCAGATATGAATGTCTGTCCAAACAGTGGCGAAGAAGTATTCATCAGAAGAGACATAATCTTGTGATCAACACATGGCTAATAGACAATATGGATCACTACATTGATGTCGAGCTCATGGATTCACAGACATTTGAATTGGTGCTCAAGAAGTTACCAAACATTACACGCATTGAGATAACTGTGAAATCGTCAGCAACGGAACGGGTGTTTGAAGTACTCATGAAGTCATACAAACACTTGAAGACAATTCACGTCCGCTTTTGGACCGGAAATGACACACAAATAGTAAACAGACTATTGCGGACATATGGATCACAATTGACATCAATAGTGATGACAAAGGATGCATTTAATGTGTATAAAGAGTACTTCAATTCAAACACAAAACTCACACAACTGTCCGCACATATTGGCCAACCATTACAACTAGAATTCAGTGATATATTCAATGATAACAACTCGTTGTTGGTTAAGGGTTTGACTGCATTTCACTGCAATTATAGAAGCGATCAAAATAATATGCAATATTTGTCGGCATTTGTGTCACACTATAAGAACCGCTTAAAGACATTATATATTAGGACAGGGATATACCAGTCCGAGGGATATATCTTTACAATGAAACAGTCCGAGGGATATATCTCTGCAATGAAACAGTTGTGTGAATTGAAAGCATTGCGAGAACTGACACTTCGTATTGATGTTGATTTCGATAATACAGTCATTAATAGTATAATCGACTATCACTGCAATGAATTTGTCAGTCAATGGCCACAACTCAAGAGTTATCACTTGAAGATCACGTACACAACGGCTCCGCAGTTGAGACGACTGTTTGAGTCCGTGAATGGTATGCGAGGCTTACGACGACTGCGGCTTATATTCATACCATTGCTGAGAACATACAATAACATGGATTTGTCGCTCAAATCATTGTCTGGTTTGAAACGATTACAGCATTTGTGGATAGATTTCAATGATTTGGTGGTAACCGAGAGGTTTTTCGATGATATCGACACACATTTGCCACGACTTCAGTCGTTAAGACTCAGCGCCTACTTCGAGATGAGCGCCGGTATTAAGGAATCGGTAGAACGGCTGCCAAAACTGATTAAATATGATTTTCACGTCCTAAAAGTGAATGAGCCATGTTCTTTTGACGAGTCTGTTCAAAACCGTATATCCCGATCACTTTTATTTGATAATCGTATTGAGGATATTGAAAGATTTAATTGCTATTATTAATACATTTATAACACGATCAATATTCAATAATTTCTATTTTGAGACAGTTTTAGTGTAATTGCAATATTTTTTATTACAGCTATTTCAATTATAATTATTTCATATTATAATTATATTTTAAATTCTCTACCATTTATTTATAGACAAATTATTTAAATAAATCGACATTTATTCACAGTTTTTAATGTCTTTTAAAAAAATCAAATAAAAATTTGTTTAAATTAAGTGTTTAATAATTTACAAACAAATATTTTCGCGGTTTAGACATTTGAATGAATCGGTGATGAAATGCAGTGTTTATTACAGTCTGTAGTGAGAGTCGACTCAATAGTGTTGTTGTCATTCAATGTCTACACAACTGTTGATTGCATTGTCTTTGACTGCAAACCACGTTATAATCAATTGATTGGATTTAATGGTCACTAAATGTCCGCAAAAAGGGTTTGTTTTCATACATTAACACAACATTTGATAAACTATTGAATGATATACTGCTTAACATACTGTGTATTAATTGTTATCTGTTTTTTAGGCAAAGATCGCATCCAATGATAAGAATGACATTCAAGAGGAATACTCGAAGAACTCATTCGACAGATTCGGTGATGACTTACATCAACAGGTGTTGTCTTACCTATCATTCAGAGACTGTTTCCGATTTGAATGTGTGTCCAAACAGTGGCGAAGAAGTATTCACCAGAAACGACATAAACTTGTGATCAACGCATTGCTGTCGGAGATGAGTGCCGACCACTACCTCGATGTCAATCGCATGGATCGGCAGACATTTGAATCGGTGCTCAAGAAGTTGCCAAACATTACACGCATTGAG